CAAGGGTAGGAAGAGACCTGCAGAAGACCAGCGGCTCCTGTTCCTCATTACCCAGAGGTCACTGGGGTCCTAGATCATGCACTGAAACGACCAACCATAATTCAAGTCAGACTCCAGAGATTCCAGGCCCTAAATCCTTTCCTCTGACCCTACTCTGTACTTACCTCTGCCATCTTTTCCATCCCTCAGCCTGTTATTCCCTGACCTCACCTTTGCAAAGAGAGCCCAGGGTGGGTCCCCTCTGTGGAAGACAGATGCGGGAACTCTGGCTCTTGGTGCCTGCACAGCCACAGTTGAGGCTAAAGAGCCATAAAGCAGCAGCAATGTAGCCGTCCATAATGCTGCGGCATATTATCATGTCCCCACAAATGTCCCCCTGGCCCCACCCCTAATCAGGCCTGATGACTTTTGAGGGCAAAGGTTTGCATGGGCCCTCTTCTTTACAAGAGAGGGGCACCAATGGCAGCTTGGAAATTAGCAAGTGCTGGGCAGTTTCACAGCCGTTAACTAATGCAATGCCCAGGGGGCCTGTGCTGCACTTCCCTTGCACAGACCCTACTCCTTCCTCCTCCTGGTCCTACCCCTGCCCCCCACCCCACCCTTCCTGCCCATATCTGGAGTGCAGGGCTTGTGGAGGGGACCTGCTTACTCATGGGGGGAGGCAGACTCAGCAACCCACTTACTTAACGCAGGGGAAACACCATGTATCTGGGTCCACGAAGGCAGTTTTCCTTAAGCGTTCCCAGGGATACCTGTTCTTCTGGTGTGGTTTAGTACCTGCCAAGGTGTTAGGACTTAAAGCCCACTTTATGGAAATGGGAGGCTCCTCCCTAGCTTGCTCCTGCAGCCATATGGCTGAGGGCAGGCTGGGGGCATCTGAACCCCAAGTCTCCAGGCTTGGGCCTGCACATAGGATGCCTGCCAAAAGATGTTGGAAATATCTGAAGCCCCTGGTGGGGTTGGAGGATGTTTGTTGGTTGTAGGGCTACTTATGGTTCTAGACTGACTCATGGATTTAAACTTGATTTGGCTGATTTGGCTTGAAACATGAAAAAATTCTTGAAAAAAAACCAGAAAAAACCTCTCTTGCTACCTTGCTGGTGTATGTTGCAATGTTTAGCAGATGTTTGGAGCAGGCCAAGTAAGGGCACCAGGTGTAGTCCTGAAAACATAAGGACCAAGGCTGGAAAGTGCAGTGAAAAGATGCTGACATCTGAGAGGGGTGATCAGGGCATTCATGCACCCCTTGATCTCCCTGTGGGGATCTGACGTGTGCTGGCAACCATGAGGTTTTTGAGAGCAGAAAAGGGGACTGAACTCAAGATGGGGTACTTAGCTAGTAGTGATGCTGTAGTCCATACTCAAGTCAGAGAGAGTCCTAGGACCGGTACTACAGAGGAGACAGAAATGGCTCATCGAAGTCTCTTTTCCTCCTTATTTTTTTTGGAGAAAGTTGGAGGCTACCACATGGGCAGAGCCCTGTGTTCTGTGTCTGTGCAGCACCTAGCTCAGCCAGGTTCTGGTCTGTTCATGCTGCTGGGTGCTATCAGCAGGCTAATGAGACTGGAATTCCTCCCAGCTCTCGTCACACTGCATCCATCCTAATATTCGCTAGGAGGAAACAGTGAATGCCCAGCTGTAGCAGGGAAGCTCAGGGCATCAGCTGCTTCCCCCAGCACCTGCACAGCACCTGGCACCACAGGAGCTTGATCTCAGCTGAAGCCTCCTGGTGCCACCCTGATATGAACAGTAAATGTTAATAACCATCAGCACTGCACCCTGCACCCAGTTAGCTTACCGTGAGCCCCCCAGATGGCTGGGGCAGCATGCTACTCTGAACTGCTGCATCAGGCTGGCTGTAGGCTCAGGCACACTCACTCCAGCAGCTGCAGACATTCAAGCCATGCTTTGAAGGTTGCCTTTGCAACACAAATGGCTAGAGACTCCAGCCCTGGTTTGTAGTTACATTTGGGCTCTTCACACAGCTCTAACCAGAAGGGATTTCTTAAAATGGGTAGAGTCAGCCCTGAGATCCCCCTTCTGTCTGAACTCTCCCCAACCATGAAGATCTGTGCTCTCAGGAGGGCTATGCCAGTGTCATGGCAAGAGTGCAGAGCAATATAGGCTGTTCTGTATGCTTCCCCTGCCTCTGTTCACTGTCGCAGCCCTGAGACTGCTTAACTTTACATGAGAAAGTAAGAAGAGTTCTGTGTGGGTCTGCAGAGGATGGTGGCAAAAAGCTACCTTAACCATACCTTGGCCATACCCTAAGCACAGGAGCAATCGGATCCTCAGGCCTTTTCTTAGTGAAGACCGTGACTCTTCAACCCAGCATCAGATCAGAGAGGAGCCCCTCTGCACTATTGCAGCCTTCAGTCACACTGCAGCTGGAGCCTGCCAGGACTGCATGAGCTACCTGTGCTGCCTACCCCCACTAATGGGAAGCAGCAGCCTTTGTGTGTTAGGGACATCAAAGAAAGCCAAGATGACACCCAACAGGCAGATACATGGTGACCAGCTGGGAAAGAGGAGAAGAACTGCTGCTCCTTTAGACGAGACATGCATTACCTTTTCTGCAGCAGCCTGGGCCTGCCTGCCAGTGATCACTACTCAGTCAGTGCCATGACACTCTGGACAAAGGAGCATGGAAGCCCTCTGTGGGCACACAGGTGGAGGTGCCTAAACTATGGCCTCATCCTGATCATGCCTGATGGGGCTCAGCATCTCCTCTCAGCTCCTTATCCCTACAAATGCTACAGGGGAGTCCCAGGACAGCCAAATTCTCTGCAAATGAAGTGAACAACTAAACCTCAGGTTGCAAGTAAGAAATTGAACCCACCACTTGAATGAAGGGAGAGAAGTAGCAGGTGGGTGCTGACACTGGCTGCAAGAGGAAGCTACTGATGACACTGGGGAGTGAAAAGAGATCTCCCCCTGCCCAGTGCTGATGCTGCCTCGCATCACAGGCAGGGCCAGGCAAGGGCTTTTGCACTGGTAATTTATATGCCAGAAAATCTGATCTGGCGTTTGGTGAATTCTGGTGGAATTTGCTGTAAAATGTCAACCCCCTTCCAAAACAAGGTCAACATGTTTCCTATTAACATTTTTTAAACCATTATTTTTTTCCAAAAAGTAGGTTGTTCCAAAACTGACCTCCCATGACTTTTAGAAAAGGAAAAATAAACATCCCTGAAAACTAAAAGGGATGTTTCCAAATGAGCAGTGGAAACATTTTCTTTGATCCCAAACATTCCTGGGGAGTTATTGTATGGGTCCATGGATGGCAGCCAGTTGTTCACCCAGCCCCTTTGGCCAGGTAGCCCTGGACACATCATCTGCTGTGCTTTCCCCACTGCCCAGCCCTGCAGTCCCTCTGAGCTCTCAAATTGCTCCTGGCACACAAACACCTACCTTTGCCTCATTTTGCCACCTGCACTTTACTTGTGTCCCTGCCTGTGTGCCCAGCCCTGAGTCAATCAGCACCAGAATTAAGTGGCTGATTGCCAGACAGCTGTGTTCCAGCACCCAGACCCAGCTCCAGACACTTAATGAACAGCTGCAGAGATGCTTTCTTAAAGGAACACTGTCCTCGAGTTGCTCAGACCTGAAAACTAGAGTGATTCTTTACAGAATTTTAACTCAGCTTAATAGTGACAAAAATATTTCCATTCATTTCCCCCCTTATTTAAGGAAAGCAGTTGTTGGAGTTTGTAGTCATACACTGAGGAGTAGATACAGGTTGCAGATATAGGAGGATAGATAGGGGGTACACTGGTGATAAGTGGACACACAGAAAGACAGCGATCAAACTGAATATGGCAATGATGACAGGAAGGATAGATAGGTGTACCCCCGCATCATTTGCAGCCCAAATCCTACCCTCTTCTGCTAATGCTTGACCACCTGAGAGTAAAACTGACTGGCAAGCATGACATGGCCAGGCCTGGCAGTGCAGAGAAGTGCCCAGAAGGCTCAAGCAGCTTCAATGGGGAGAAGCCAAGGGAGTCAGTGGAAACCTATCCCAGAGCAAAATGGAGTCGGTCAGAAGCCCTGTTCCCTTTTTAACTCTGATTTGTAACTTGCTCCCCTTCAGCTTCCCAGTTCATCCAGGGTGACTCTGTCCTACAGGGACCAGGGCTTTGCACTGTGGCTTCAGGGACATACAGGGCACAAGCCACCTGTTATCCTTTGCAGCCCCTTCATCATCTACTCCTCTCCGCTCAGAGGGAGGGAAAGGCTGTGCCACCCGTTATGCCACCCGTGTACACATGGTCTGTCAGTGCCACCTGCTGGAAGCTTGTAGTAATGCTTTACCCAAAGCCGCTCCCCACATCATCCACGCCACCCTGGTTTGTTTCCATGCAGCACCTCACTCTACTGTTATCAGGGCGAATATAACACAGCTTCACAAGGCCCCTGGGGGCTTAGCAGCACTATTGTTCCCACTTTATAGGTGGGGAAACTGAGGCACAAAAAGGGGACCCGATTCATGCCAAGTAGCAGAGCTGAGTCCTGATGCTCACTCCCCTCCTCTCATTTTTGACCACATTCCCTTCCAAAACGAGGACAATGCAGGAGTCCTGGCTGCTACTCCCAGCTCTAACCACTAGAGTGCACTTCCTTCCAGAACCAGGAGAGACCCCAGGCATCCTCACTCACACTGCCTGATGCACAAAAGCAAGAAAGCAAAGAGCTGGAAAGGGAGGCTGTGATGTGGCAGCCTGTGATAGTCACCCTCCCTATCTTGTGTCCTGTGTTCCTAGGCAGCATGCTCCAGCAAGGCGCTGGGCCACCTGTTCTGAAGCAGGAAAGAGAGTCCCTAGCACCACAGCACCGTGCAGGCACCTGCTGCCAGGGGATAGGTTTAGAGGGCTGGAGTCCCCTCTTGGATTCCCCAGGGTTTGACTCTGACCTCTCAGTAGCCTGAAAGGTAACAGACCTCCCCACACATATATGCCCCACCAGTGAGATCCTGCCCAGGACAGACCTTACCTGGCAGCTTAGCATCCTGTGAGGCGGTAGGGGTCCCCACAGAGGGCCTGGCTGCCAGACCTCTTGCCGAACCTAGAGGGGAAGAAAAACACAGAGTGGGTTATTATATCCAGGTCCTACACAAAACCAGGTCATACAGGAGGCTGGTCCAGTAATTTCTCCAGGTATGTGCAGCCGAGCAGAGGCCCCACCGTGGCCTGGTTAGCAAAGCCACTCACCTGGGCCGTGTGACCACATTGAGATACTGCTGCAGGTCATTGTAGAACTGGATCAGGTCCTCTACAGGAGCACCATCCCCAGGGTACTTGGGCTGCAGGGGGGTGGCATTGGCAGCATGCCCAATGAGCACAGCCATGCAGCAGGTGAGGGCAAAGAGAGTGTCCCAGCGTCCACGGGAGGCCATTGTCTGGGGAGAGGAAGGGATAGATGGATCAAGACGACAGTCCCTACAGCCATCGCCTGAATGGGCAGGAGGTAGGGTACATAAGGGAAGGACATAAACCTGTTGGATTGGGTCTAGCACAGGCAGTGATGGGCAATAGGAGGGAAGAAAGGTGCAAGGAGCCTGCAGTGTACATGTGGGACCTCAGGGAGCTGCCTGGGGGCAGGGTAATTGCTATAGCAGCTGCTCTGGATGTGAGGTGGTTGATGAGCTTTCCCAGGGAGGAGGGATGGAAGCAAGGAGAAAACTCCTGGGCATTGGGGAGAGCTGGGGATGGGGCAGGGGGGCAGACTGCTATGAAAGGCAGTAGGGGACAAAGGGTTCTCAGATGCTTCGGGGGCAGTGCCAGCTCAGCTCAGAGAGACAGTGGGGTTGGGGAGCAGGGGGAGAAACTGAGAATCAGGGCATTGCCTTTGTTAGAGGCTGGGATGGTTTGTGTGGATATCCTGTAAGCATAAACACGCACGTACACACACAGGCAGTGCTGCTCCATGTGTGGAAGTACATAATATGCATATATTTGCAGGCAACCACACAATCTGCCCTCCTGAGAGTGCATGCACACATTCACACATACATGCACATGCACATTCAGCTGACCAGCTATGCACACAGATACACACAAAGTATTGTACACCTCCCCCCATGAATTCATACCATCACCAGTGCACAAGTGCACACACACACATGCATACTCACACACAACCTGTATGCCAGGCATGCACACATGCATATACATAGGCCCCCCATGCATGCATACACTCATCAAATTGTGCACACAGGCACACAGAATTGCACACATGCAGGTTCATGCATACAGTCTCTGGGACATGCTTACACACATACACACACTTAGCTTTTCATACCTGCTCTCACACATACTTCCAAGCAGGCTTAAATGCATGCCCACACCAGGGCACAGACCCAAACATGCCAGCCCTCCTGCTCACACTGATATTTTTTCCATGTACAGGCTCACACAGACCTACAGACATGATGCAGGTGTGCTTACACACGCATGCTCACAGTCATGTTTGCACACTCGCAAAAGCTCTCCCAGCCACCCAGCTTGCACAAATGGTTCTGTTTCCAAAATGTGGCTCCTGAACCCCTGTCACCAACCCCATCTGTCACCACTTCCAGTGCCCAAACTCTCCCTTGTCAGCTTCCACTTGCTATGGGATGCTCTGCCTGCTAAGCTGCCTGGGCTCACCCTGATACCCTACAGCTGCCCTCTGCTCTCCCCCATCAGCACTGAGTGAGGGGTTCACTGCTTCCAGCCCCTGAACTAACCCTCCACCTGCAACCCCAGCTCCTGGAGTTACAAACTACTGTCCATGACAATGTGTGGAAAGGAGACGTGGGGATGTGCTGGGAAGGTTGCAACCTTTAAGCTAGTGTGTAGGCAGCAGGGACTAGCCTCCCCCACATCCCCCATGCACACATGGAGGTGCCCCCAGCCCTGGCTACTTACCTCGACTGAGCGAGTGCAGTGCAGGGATGTAAAGTGGTACTGAAGTGCTGGGGTCTGTCCAAGGTCGTCTCTGCCAGAGCCACCTCGGGGGTTTATATCTCCTCTTTCCCCACCTCTGGCCCCTCCTGTGTCATTTTTTCCCCCCTCTGGGCTGCGGCTCTGATGTCATCCTCTGCGGTCAGTGCCCACGGCTCTCCCCTTTCCAGTAATGGGAACGTCGCCAACCCCCCAGGCACTGGCCCGCCCAGCACACCCACCCCTTCTTCGCTCTGGGTTCCAGGGCTCTGCTGTTTTGCCTTGCTCCTGCCCTATATCTGGGGTCCAATCTGGGGGCTGAGCCCAGCTTTCCTGTGGGAGGAGGTCCATCAGGCCACATGCCACCAGGATAGACCTGTCCCATCCCTCACCTGGGAAAGAGGCCACCTGGCTCCTGGCTGCTCAGCTGCCCCAAGCCCTCCATCCCCCTTCCTGGGCCAGCCAACCTCCCCAGCCCCATTTGAAGGCTGGTCAGGCTTCCGCCTTTGGCTCCTGCTGGGAACAGTGGTCCTTTGTTCAGCCCCAGGGGAGGCATGGTTAATATTTCATCAGGCTGCTGTGTTGGAGCCCCCCAAGCCCCTCTGAGAACAGCCTTGGTCTCGGCCTACCTGCAGCTGACAGCCAAGGTTGGGGAGGTGTATACCCAGGCTGGCCTGACAAGGTGTGGCCCTGGGCCCCACAGGCAGCCCTAGGCCATTCCTGCCATTCCCACCCATGGGGGCAGATGCCCTTTCCTTCTGCTCAGTCCCACCTGACTCTTCAAGGTGGGTTGGAGAGAGAGAGGGCAGGTCACTGCCACCCAGACCACCAGTCCTGCATGCTCAGCCAGACAAGGGCAGGCCAGGCTTCCCCACACTATAGTCACATTAAGCTTGAGCAAACGGATGGTGTTAAAATGTTTCTGAGCAAACTCCAGTCCTACTACCAGACAATGCTGGGAGAGGACGCAGCCAACTCCATCTGGAAAAGGGACATGTGGCACAGGCTGTTCAAAGCCCCCCACCCCGGGAAAGGAAGTGGACAGGGAGAATGAAGGGAACAATGACACAACTGGACCCGAAGACAGCAAGGAGGACAACAACAGGATCAGCAGCAGTGGAAGCGACAGCAACAAGGACTGTGGATGAACCGAGAAGGGAAACCCCAAATCAGGGCCGGGACTAAGAGACTGTGTTTGGGTTAGGGAAGGGCAGAGGGTGGGTATGCGTGGGCACAGAGGACCTGGTGCAGTTATTGTAATGAGTGCACGGGTTTATTAAGGTGGTTTGAAAAGAAAAGGTGCAATGGAAGCCTATGATAGAGGGTGTGTATAAATATATATATATATATATATATATATACACACCTAACTATAGATAGATAGATAGATAGATAATTTAATTTTAGATTTATATTTTAATTTTATTTTAATAATTTTTTTTATTTAAAAAAAAATCCACACCTTGCAGGCTTGTGCGGGGAAGACTGCGCAGGCAGATCCAGGGGTGGGGGGGTGCAGTGGTACAGGTTCACCCCACTTTGGTTCCTGCTCCACCCAAAGTTTAGAAGGGACTGCCTGAGAAAGGCAGCAGCATTTCCAGGCAGGAAGTAGAGAGCAAGTCACTTGACTTCATGGCTCATTGTAATCTCCCTGATCCCTTTTAAACTCTTTATCCCACAGGTGTTAACATTCCTCTCTCTTTTTTTAATGATCTTGATGTTCCACTAATGAAGCAATTCTTTCTCCTGCAGTTCTGCTGTTAGCATCTCTTCTTAAGATAGCTCCTGTTTGGCAGCCCTGAAAATTGTTTTTAACTCTAGCTAAAAATATCAACTCACATGTGGAAACATTAACTCAGGTAAAGGTCAAGATGCTCAAGAAAGCTAGATTTTGTTTTATGAATCTGAAAGATGTACATTTAAATCTACTGACAACAGGACTAGAGAAACAACATCTTTTGATTAATTTTTTTTTTTACCTAGTTTGTTGTGTTTTAATACATAATATAGGCTAGAACAAATTAACGCACATGCCAATACAATTACATCCATTTTTACTTTGATATTAACCTGAACAATGTAGCCGTAGGCCTCTAGCATGTTAGTAAAAGTTGTAGTTTATTTTTACCTGGAGCAAAATGTGCGTTGTGTTGTATGTGATGATGCACCTGCACCCCCTCGCCCTTTTCAAAATCTGAGATCTGCCCATGGAAGGCTCTAACACAGGTCAGGGGGGTTCTCTTAGGCATGCCTGGAGCAGTGGGCACCACCACAATGCCGCCTTCCCTGCAAGGAAACTAGTCGGGGAGGGCTTAGGTGGTGCTTGCACTGGCGGGGTGTGGGGGAAACAACAGACAGCCCCTAAGCAACACCTTGCTGAGAGAGTGAAGCCCCTGCACAGACCCAAACTCCTTGGCCCATGCAGCCCTGCAGCCAGCACTGCCCTGGGGCTGTGGCCTGGCAGATAGAAGGGAAAGTCTTCACCTGTGGCCCAGATGCCTTGGACAAAAGCTGGCTGTGATGGTCTGTATCCTGCAGTGAGCACTGCTGTCCAGCAGGTGGCACTGAGGCTCCCCCAACAGCCCCAGAGCAGCTGCTGGTGACTGGGCCCAGGAGCTGGTACCTATGCCAGGGGTCCTGTGAAGGGCAGAAGCTGTCTGGCAACACCAGGCCAGGCTTCCCATTGGGTTGCGGGGCAGGGGAAGCCCCAGCTGAGCCTCAGGCATGCCTGATGGAGTTGTGGAAACTGGGGTGAAGTCTGATCAAGGACTGGCCCCCACGCCTGGCACAACCTCCCCGCTCTTGCCCCACTCAGGGCTGCCAGCCCCACAGGCAGCTCCACATACCAGTCACAACACTCCCAGGCCACCCATGGCACACCCTGCTGTGTTCCTGGCCAGGGTGAAGGATGCTGTTGGCTTCTGCATGTCAAAATTTGTGGGGGTCCCAGCCCATTTTCCAGAGCAAGTACCCTGGTTCCACAACACAGCTTCCCCATGGGCAGAGGGCGCAGGCCAGCTGATCCCTGGAGCCCAGGCGCCTTGCCCCTCTGGGTAGGGGCTGAAGCCACAGGCAGGGGCTGATGGGTCCCTGGGGCTTAGAGCTGCGAGGCAGATGAGAGCATCTGTCTGTCCCCGCAGAGCAGCCTGGGCATGTGACTGGTGGCAGTGCCCACCCAGGGCTGGCTCCTGTACACATCCCAGGCACTATGTCATAGGCCAGCTCCCCAGCAGGCAGCAGTACATCAGCAGGACTCCACTCAAGTCAATGGGGCACTCCTGCTTTACACCAGTTGCTGGTTTGGCCCAGGAAGCTCTGATGAGGAGCAGCTTCCAGGATTGGACCTCTTCCTGGTCAGTGAAAACTGGAGTGGGCTATGGCACTGTTTATCCTTCCCCCTCCAGTGCTATGGAGATCAGATATCCAGGTTGTAGCCATATTGGTCTAGAGAAAAAAGAGGGCTCGTGGACAG